GACAAACAGCAGAACAACAAACACGCCATAACAGACAAACACCACACCACAGCAAACCATGACAAGCAACCATGACCAACAAACCACGACAAACAAACCATGCCAAGCAAACCATGGCAAACAAACCATGACAAACCATGCCATACACAGCTGAACAACAAACAAACCATGGCAAGTCACACCAGGGACATAGGGCATCACCACCTGGCAGGCACAAATCGAGCACCAGAAGCACATATAGTTAAACATCTTGTCGAGTGCGCGCGCAGAGGCCCCCAGAGCGAACCGAACGCCCGAGACGATGCGCAATGCGGAATGCCACTCAGATGCCCGTAATGCGCGATCTAATTCGCGCCCGCGCTCGCCTTGGCGAATCGCAACCGAGCGATCGCCCGCGCCCACGCACGAACCTAACTTCGAGCGATTTAAGGCGATCGCACGGACGCGCGCCGACGGCTCAGCCAGTATATAGCATGCGCTCAGCGAAGGCCCCAAGCCATCTCGCAACGCGAACCCCAGCCCAGCCCATGCTCATGTTCGGACGGCGCGACAGGCCCCGAGCGATAGTGCTCGCGCGCCGTGGCACCACGCCGCGCGGGAACGAGGGCGGCGCACATGTTTGGATGCATACGCCATTGTCGTCGGCCAAAGAATCACCGCGGGGAATTGCCAGTTTTCGCCGCCATCTGGCATGCGGAACCGCCGCCGCATGGCACGCGCAATTCGCGCGCCAGCGCTGCCCCGAACAGACGCAGTCACAGCGTTGGGCAACTGCCATGGGACTGCGGTCGCCCTTCGCCGCTCGCCACGCGCCCAGCGCGATCGCCGAGGCCGTTCGCGCTTGACGCGCGCTTGAGTAGACAGGCTGTGGCGATGAAGAAGCGCGCCGCGAGCGCCCCAATGGCGCCTCCCTGTCGCCCTCGGGGGGCGCACGCGCATGTCGTGCATGCGTGCACGCGGTGGGGGCGTCGGCAGTGGCGGGGCGGTCGAGGCGCGCGGCGGCGGCGGCGGCGGCGCGCATCGGGGCAGATGGGCGAGGGGGAATTACCAAGCGGCGATGCCAACCCGTGCTTGGCGGGGGGGAGGGGGAAGGGGGGTGTTGGCGGGAAAGTTGGGCGGCGCGCTCGGGTGCGCGTGCGTCTGGGGATGGAGGCTGAAGTGTCGCGCTGCACTTGGCGCGTGCGCCCATCGAACGTCGGCGAGTGTGGCTGGCGCGGCAAATCGACATGGCGTGCGGGGCACGACAGAACAGCGCGCGCGCTGTTCGCGGGCCGGGCGCCGCCGCGGGCATCGTTGGCGCGCAGCGCGGGCGCGACAAAGGCGGGCTGCCATGGTGGCTGCCACGGTCGGCGTGGAACTGCGCGACTCGCAGCTCCGCGACGGCCAGGTCACGGCTTGCGCTGCAGCGCGGCATGATGCCCCCCTCTCCCTCGGGCGCGCGCCGCTGTAGAACGGCCGCCGCAACGAGTTCAGAGATCTCTTTCGCGGTCGGGGCGGGTTGCGGGGCATCGCGCCAAGGACACGCGCGCGCTGCGCACTTGGGCGGCGCCGCAGACACATGAACGACGCAACGAAGTACAGCCTTGCCAGCGTTGGCGCCGCGCCCCCACGCATCGTCTGATTGGTGGTCGCGTCGCGATGGCAGCGCGGGCCCATGCAGCCCTGGGCCCGCCTGGGGCGTCTTGCGTAGACTCGGCGAAGCGGCCAACGGCAATGCTCGGGCGGTCGGTGCTACGTTTCCAATGGGGAACGGGGCAAGGGCGTTGATCTCCACATTGCCGCGGGCATTGTTGAGCATGGGCGTAGGCCAAAGCGGCGCCGGGGAAATTTGGCCGGCTGGCGTCGGCGCCCAGCTCGGGTTTCGGTGCCGGGCTTAGTTTTCCAGTCGCCAGCGTGACCGCTCCCGCGCCTGAGCTCGCCAGCGGCCTTGGGCGTGGGCCAGAGTCCCCAGCCTGACTGGAGAAGCGCTCATATCGGTCTGCCGCCGAGGCCCGGGCGTCGACGAGCGTTTGGTTGCGGGCGCAGGTCTGCGCTGGGCCCTGCGTTCGGGCCCGAGCTGCAGCAAGAGCACGGGCGTGGACTTGCACTTCCAGGCGCGCGCAGTCTAGCGGTCGGCCTTGACTCGCGCGCGCGCTGACACTGCGTTCTTTCACTTGGGGCAAGCGGTTCGCAGCGCGCTTTGGTCTGGTCTTGGGATCGAGCGCGGTCGTCTAGATTGTTGCTTGCGCGTGGCGCCACATTGAGTCGGACATGAGCGGCGGGGCGGGCATGTGGTAGGGATGGCGCGCGCATTGCGCACGCGCGTTTGCTTTTGGGCCGGGGGCTGCCGTCGGCTCGGTTCTGGACGCAGGCCACGAAGTGGTGCGCTAAGCCAGGCTTACATATCCTCTTCGGTGCGCACGCGGGCTGCAGCTGGGCCTCGGCGTCCACCTTCGGCTTCGCGTTGCGCGCAGACTTAGGAAGTCTGTTTTGACGCATGCAGGCGCGAGCGCCGTCCGTTGCGCATTGGCTTGGTCACCTCGATCGTGCGCGATTGCTCGGGCAAGCGGCGGCCGCGCTAATGCGCGCCCATGCCAGCTTGGGCGTCGGCGTCGGCTTGGCCGAGGGCCCGAGTGCCAAGTTTCGTTTGGGCGGGCCCGTCGGCCGACGTCGGGCATAGACGTCGAGCGATTGTCAATGTGGCGTGTAGTTGGTCGTGGGCCAGGGCGAGGGCGCAGTTCTCTGCCCGCGGGCATTGGCGCGCTGCGCTGGCATCGCGGATGGCCGAGCCGAGCGCGTGCTAAATTTGATGGGGCGGGCCAGGCGACCCGTTGCTAAAATGTTATGTCGGGTCGGGGCTAGCTCGCGCGGTGCAGCGTGCGCGTCGGCGCCCTTTGGCGTCGCCGTATTGCGCTTGTTCGAGAAAGTCATTGCACGCCTACTGTGCACCACCTACGCATGTTGTCCCCGCGCGTTCTGCGCGCATGGCTTTCGCGCCTGATGTAGTTCGCGCGGTTTGTCACGACAGCGTAATATTCGCCAGCGTTGCAACGACTGTCATGACCCACATACAGTGCCAAAAGGGTACTATGTATGTTGGGTCCAGAGCTAACAATACTCATGATTATGTTTATACATCTGCGCGCTTGTCTTATAGGTTGACAATGCATCCTTGACTTTCCCAGCCCACCCAGTGTTTACATATCAAGCTAGCGTTGGCAAGCGTGCAAATAATTGATGTAGCGCGCGGGGAAGGGGGCGCGTCGCGCCTCAGGACTGAGTTGTAGGCGCCGTCGCGTTCACGGCGTGCACAAGAAAAGGTTTGTCCTGACAGTATGAGAATATACGGCTGCGGCTCTCGTGTGGGAATTTTAGAGACGAGGGTCAACAACCCGCGCGTGGTCTTGCATTAACGGGTCGCCCTGTCAACGCACCAACATAAATAATTCTCACCGGAAGGGTCCGCGCCCCTGTTGCCCGTGCCATAACACGCCGGCGTCTCCTCTTCAGCGTTCAAGTCCCAGAAGGCCTTCCATGGGCACCCCGAGGCATGGCGCAGACCATATGGATGCCTTGCTGGCCTCTTCTGTCAGGCTCTTCGCCCCCAGCTTCCCCCTCTTGCTGCCGTCGCAGCCACTTGGGGTCAGGGGCCCCGAAAGCCTTGTTTGTCGCAGCAACGCGGCTTTTTGTCCCCGCGCCCTTTCGCTCGCGCGCGAGATGGGCAAGAAGGGCCGCGCAAACGGCGCGACGGCCGAGCCTCGGCCCGAGTCGCCCGCGCGCGCCGCCCCTGCAGCCAAACGCGCCAACAAGTCAGACCGCGACCAGCCGTCTGGAGAAGCTCGATGCAGCACTGACGACCCCCCAGCTGAGAAGGCGAGGAAAGTCGCCGCCAAGGCGGCCGGCGGCGGCATCTGCGGGATGGCCCACAGGCAGCGCACGATGGATCACGCGACTCGTTGCTCGAATTGCGGAGAGACCGCCGATCAGGCGCCCCCCTTCTCGCAATGGGACGACTTGCGCGGGCGGTGCCACGAGGGCGACCCCGTCGCGGAGGGCCTCGACAAAGCGCGCAATCTGGCACGCAAGACTGGCGGTGACCCCCCGCAGAAAAGCGAGCACGACGAGGTCAGCACCCCGGCGATGCTCTTCGAGGACACGGCGCAGTCGCCCAGGGCGTCGAGGCTCAAGGACATCTACCATAGCGATCCGTTCAAGATTGGTTTCAAGCAGGCCAGCATTACCGATCAGGCTGGCAACGCGCGTTTGAGGTTCGCGCAGGTCACCCCACGGCTGCCCCACACCAGCGCGAACGTAGTTCGTCGCAGGGTCATCGGGCACAGTCAGACCATCTTGTCCGACGACCAGATGCTCTGGAGCGGCCATGCCAAACTTCGTTATGGCGCACTCGTCGACCAGAAGTGCACCGAAGGCCATCATCAACGCGCCGACGCACGAGGAGGTTCTGGACATGGCGCAGACGTTCAGGACGGGGCAGGACATTGCTCAGGCGAACAAAGAGATCCTGGAGGGCCCGCGCGCCGAGAGGTCGCCCCCTACTCTCGGCAGAGGCGAGCCCGATGGTCCAGCTCCTGCAGCACCTACGCTTGGCGATATGGGGCCGCCCACGGCGCCCCCGAGGCGAGGCTCGACACCTATCGCCGTCAGGGCCCCCGAGGCCAAGACGGGCTATGCGGCGTCGGTCGCGACAGGAACCCCCGCGGCCAGCGCGGCGGGCTCGTCTTCCGAGGTGGAAGAGGATGAGACGATGAGCAAGCTAAGGTGCGAGGTCTAGTTGATTGCATTCTTGCGCGGATACCGACGCAATTTGCACCTCGCTATCGGGTCGGACATCATTTTTGGCACCTGAGCATGGGTCGAGCACGTCGAGGGTTGTCGCGTCGCCCAATTTGCCCAGGGCCCCCCTTTGACTCGGGAGTTCCCCGGGCGATCCGGATGTCGACGCCGCGCCCCCGCGGTCGAATCTGTCGGAAGGGGGAGAAGAAAGCAGGCGACCCGGGGCCATGGACGCGGCGGCCATGAACAGAGATGACCCCGAGGCCTCGCGTAAGGACTTGGACAAAGAATCCGCGGAGATTCCTCCCAGCTTCCAGGGGGGGCTCTAGGGTCGGGCCAGCGTCGATTGGAAGGGCGCGAGTGACTTCGGATCGAACGCCAACCGCGTCGCGGCGTTGGCCCCGCCGCGGCCCCCCGAGGACAGGTCGGCGCACGTGGAAGACCCCGAGAAGATCACTTGCTTGACCCCCGCGCCGTCGGAGATGACTCTGGCGCCGATCGAGAGGGCGAACTTGTTCAAGGACGCGGTCGTCAAGATCGTCACCGTAGCCTACCTCCATGGGGGCAGCAACATGCTCTCCGAAACGATGAACGCGGTCAAGGACATGATCGCCGCGATCAAGGGCATGCCCGCGTCGTGCGAGGTCGAGATCAACAATGCGAGCAGCAACGCGATGCAAGCGCTGAAGCTCTTGAACACCATCGGCGGGGCCGAGGTCGACACGTTGGCCTTGGCGCAGGCCGACAAGTTCGTCAAGGCAAAGGCACTACGCTTGAGGGTCCCTTCATGGTCCGAGCGGTTGATCCAGTACTTGAGATATTCGCCATCGCTGATGCACTGGGCCCCATCATCAAGGACGACCGGAGGTCATTCGCAGAGCAGCCGAATTACATGGCGCTGACCCTGCAGTGCACCCACGGCGTCACTAAGATCGACAAGGAATTGCCACCGTCCGAAGTCTCGTCCTACACCATCTGGCTTAAGGGAGTCGCCGACGCATTCGTGACCTCGTCGGCGCAATTCTGGCCTCAAGGTCACGCGCTCCCATAATCGCATGTAGACGCAGAGGCAGTCGTGAAGACGGCGTCGAAGGCCTTCGGGTCGAACGCTTCTCGGCAGCAGCTCGCCCGCACCTTGCGCGGCCAGCGGTCGGGGGGCCATGGGCGCTCGCTCTGGGGGAAGTGCATCGTGAACATCGGCACCTATAACGCCAAGAGCGCGCAGTTCGTTGCCGCGAACTTCGGGGAGATCGAGGGGTTTCGATCCCGCCCCGGGGATTCAGTTGCAATGGTTTCGCGAGGTCACTGGGTCTGCGTGGGTTGCATACTGGGGAATAGAGGCGCCTGGGCATCGATCCACGGCAACGCCGACTTCGACGCCGCCTGGAAGTGGGTCGATTGCGCGCCCCTTTGGTTTAAGCCAACGGAAATCCTGGGCCCCAATTGCCGTTGGAAGTCGTTCCGCCAATTCCTCGACAAAGTGAAGGTCTACTTCGATCTGGTGAAATCGCATGATGAGATTCGCGGGGAGAGCGGCGTTCTCAAGGACCACCTCGCCGAGGCCCCCGCGCCAGCTGCGGGCGCCTTCCGGGGTCTGCTCGAACAGGCCTTGAAGGGGAAGAACGCAAACAATGGCATTGAGGCGGAGCTCATCGACGACGCGCGCGTCGAGGGCTTCGAGGCCGCCGCGCAAGAGCTCAAGACGCGCATTTTCCTTCAGATCTCAGGTGCTGACCTGCAGGCGCCCGACGAGAAATCCAACGACTTCACCTTGAGCAAGATCCAGGGCGGGCCTGTGGACAAGATGTGGTCCGAGGGCTTGGCTGCTACTGCCAGCGTCGAGGACGCCATCAGATTGTTCGAGAAGACGCTCTTCCCGCGATTTCCTCTGACAACTACAAGGAGGAGGTTGGCCGCAAGTTCCGGCAGCTGGAGGCCCTCACTGCCACGGAGCAGAGGTTCGACATGACGTTGCCAGCTGAGAAGAAACCCGGGGCGATGACCCTCATCTGCAACCGCGCAGCCCAGACGCTGTGCGAGTACGAAGCTCTGGGGGGCATCAAGGAGGTGGGCAACAACGTAGTTGCCGCGAAGATATTCATGATGACGGTCGTTGCGAACACGCAGGAGTGGAAGGTCACGACATTGATCGAGCCATTCGTTGATGGCACTCCTGTATGAGTCGCTATTTCGGCACATCGCCGAAGCTGTGCCTCCCCTGCGGCTCTGGAAACATTGCGGCCTCCGTTGGTTGCACTTCGTCTCATCCATTCGTCCTTTTGTGTTGCGGCCAGGGTCCGCGAGTGTTTGACAAGTAAGGCTCCATACATATTTTTATACATATATGTAACTATATATACATGTATATGTTTATAGCTGCCTTCGGCCTATTCCGTCGCCGTGCTTGGGTTGTGGGTAAAATGCCTTCGGGATGGTCGATTGGGCGTCTTGGGGTATCTCGCCGTGGCGTCTTGGATGTTTCGTCGAAGCCTCCGTTGGTTGTCGCCCGACTTGTGCCTGCAAGGTAATGGTGCCCTATGGCCCTGTTGTGGCTTGTTACGGTTTGTTCGTTGTTATGCCGTCTGTCTGTGATGGTTTGTTGGTCATAGTGTGTTTGTCATAGTTTGTTTGACATGGTTTGTTTCTCATGGTTTGTTTGTGATGGTTTGCTGTGGTGTGGTGTTTGTCGGTCATGGTGTGTTTATTGTTCTGCTGTATGCCTGGCATGGTTTGTCTGTTGTTCTGCCGCTTTAGGCCAACGCGCCCCAACACATTGGCACCCTATGCGCGCGAACGCGTTGCCATCACGCGCCTGCGCGGCCTGCTGGGGGCGGCCGACATCACCGATGCATCGCCGTCGAAATAGCATGCGCCTCGCCTGAAGGGGCCGCGCCATGCACGCACAAATCGGTCAGTTGTGGCCCGATGGTTGCGGGATGGTGGTCTGATGCTTGCTGTGATAATAGAGCCCGGGGGTATGTGTAGGTGATTTCGGTCAACGGGACTCGGGATACATGCAGATTGAAACGCCACCTGCGCAGCTCAAGGGATAAGCCTGAGGGGCTTAAAGCCTGGGGGTCATGTGTAGCCTGATGGGGTCTATGTGTTGATACGGGGTTTTCTCGCCGTGACGTGTGGCCTTGTATGGGTTTTACACACAGTATGTTACACCGTTGTCGCTCTTCCTGGGCGAGTGCTGTTGCTGCCGTCCCGATCCCGAAGGAAGGTGGCTATCCCATGTAAGACCCACCAGGAATATTTGGGACCCACGAATAAGATTTAGGAACATGCGTTGATGGGGCACCCACAAGCAAGGTCCAGGATGTATGCATCGCTGTATGGTTTATATGCATTGGAGGCCGCTGACCTCCTAATATGAGGGGGTGCTTGTCTTGGGCCGCCGAAGATAACTAAAAACAAGTCTCCTGGGACAAAGCAGAAAACGCCACAGCAAATTTCAACAGAGTCGGTCCTTCAGAAAACAATGCCCATCCGACCTCGAATGTATTTTAAACCTGTATCCATGTTGTGGCGATAACTTATGGTTACCCTATTTAAAATCGTGTTTGGAAAACCCAGGAAGTTTGATCTGTCCACCGCTCACAAGTTACAAACAGTATCCACATCGGGGCGCCACGGTTGAAGATTGCATGTCTCACAAACCTGCGATTCAAATGTAACATATGGCAATTCCAACCACTTCGGTTTGAACCTTCCCCGTCACCCGTTTCGAAAAGTACATGCGGTGCGCAGGCGATCTAATAAGGGTTGCAACAACCCGTGGCACATAACACCATGCGAACAACACACGCGCACGCAAGCCGACAACATTCGTAAACCATTGGTTTCCGGATCCGTACAGCAAAATATGCTCGTTCAAAACATACAAAGAAATTCAAATCACGGCACGCAAACGCATGTTTGCTTGTACCATATGAGTGCGAAAGGGGTGTCCTGTCATCGGCTTGGACATCGCCCATATGAGTTCATACTATCCCAATCGAACAAGCATCGCCCCCCCACCCACCCGAAGAGGACAACCCAAAAAAACGCATCCGTCAAAAAGATCGGATGCGCGCGCACTCGTGCATGCTAACATATTACAATTCTAAAATACATATGGCATAAGCACTCAACCAAGTCCACGCGCGCTCACACGCCGAAACCGAAGTAACACACAGGCGTTGCAAACAACACTTTTAACATATGTATATATGTATACATACATACATGCATAAATACACATGTGCGTGCTGCTATATCGTTGGCATTGTATATTGGGAAATATAAATGTGTAATATAATAGATTTGTATATACAATGTAAATATATAATGTATATAAAACATTGTTATGCACACTAGACATCATATGTATATATATATATGTAAATATATGTATAAGTATGGCGACGCGCCCGAGCCCCACGCGACGCGCGGCTGGAGGAGCTGGAAAGACCCGGTTTGAATTAATAGCGCGGCGAAGGCGTATCATCATCAGGCGAGGGGCGAAGGGTCTCACTTCGCGCGCGTGGCTGGATCTAGGGGGTCGGCGGGCGGGGGCCTCGTTGCGGCCCACATTCGGGGGCCACGTTCGGGGGCCACTCCTGGGAGGCACGCGTTTGGGGGCCACGCGTGGGGGCCACATTTAGGGGCGTCCAGTTTCGCCCGCGCCCCCGCCCCTCGCTCTCATCCGCAAACGCGGGGTGCTACGCACTTGCGGATAAAAAAATCCTCGTAGTGATAAGAGACGCAGGAGTCTCGCGAGCTGCGCGACTCGCAGGATGACGATCGATTCTAAAAGGCTCGAGGAAGAAAATCTACACGAAAATGGCAAGGACTGAGGGGAGAACGCAAGACGGGGAACTGAAATGTGATCGAGGAAGCAGCGACAGGAACTGCCGGAAGCAAGGGGGGGACAACGACAGAGGGGCACAGGAAAGAGAAGGACGATGTTTCGAGGCATGTTTGCTAGCAGTTATAATCAGCGCGGAACAACGCGAGGCCGAGCTGCGCCGCCAGCTGCTCGGTCTCCCCCCAGCATTCGTCAGCGCGGGTAGAACCAGCGCGCAAGCGCGCGGCGAAGTCCGCAGGCAGCCCGCGACGAAGGAACTGCCGCCCCTGGCCCCGGATCAGCACGAGATGGTCGACCTTCGTGGCCTTGGAAAGCATCGCGAAGAACGTAGAGATGTACCCACATGTTGTCCACGCCGTCATCGTATTTGCACCCTGCGTCGTCGATGGTTCCGTCGCCACGCACGGGTATGGCGCCACTGCGCTGGGCCCGCCCAGCAGCCCTCAAATGTGGGGACGACCAACGGGATGACGAGGCCGACCCTGCATCGGCGGTGCGGCGCCACTCCGGTGGTCCCCCCAGCTGCCTTGAAAAGACAAGGCAATTTTGCACCTCGCACCCCCCCCCCAAGGATGGCGATGTCTGATCTGAATCTGCGCTCGGCACCCACTACGCTGGCCCTCTCAGCAGTCCTCGAAAAGTGGTGGCACTTCCGCAAATGGCAACCACCCAGGGATGGCGAGGTCCATTTTGGGTTTGCGCTCGGTACCCACTGTACTGCCCCCCCCCCCATCCAGCGTCCGCCGAAAGCGGACACAATGTCGCCCAGGGACGGCGAAGTCTAATCTGGGTTTGCGCCCTGTACCCAGTACGCCAGCCCTGTTCTGCAACCCGCGCGTGCGGCGATAGTCTCGCACACCGCAGCCCCACAGGGATTGCGAGGAATAATATGATATGTTTTCGGTACCCACGCCTGCGTTCGTTATCCACTAAATCCACGTGCGCTCCCAACTGCCCTCGAAATTGGCACAATTCACAACTCGCAACCCCCAAGGATGGCGAGGCAGGAGGCACGTAGGAGGCAAAGAAAGAAGAAGGGGCGCAGGAGGAAATAGGACTGGAGAGCGCAGCGCTCTATTCAAAACGGCAACCTAACGCAGGAGGGTCCGGAATCAAACACCACATTGATTGCGCGCACTGCATGGTATCATGGAAAAGCATAATAGCTTAGCAACAGGCCCAACACTTGCATTCTCATTTCACCACGCGGTCATCCCCCTTGATCTAGCATGCGGCCGGAGAACACATCCAAACCAAATAATACCAGGCGGTTCGCAAACGCGCGCCGCCACAAGCACGTGTCGAACTCCTTTCAAAACCGATGGCGTTCGATATATGCCAAAATAGATCCCTTCGAAAATATATGAACGTGATCAAATGCGCGTCGACTAAAGGACGCCAAGCTCCGCGAATATCGGGGTGCGCACCTTCTCATCACCCTTATCAGCGCCATCACATCACCGCCGCTGTCGTCATTGTCAATCGCCGCCGTCGCCATCAATATCAAAACAACCACCGTCATCATCGACAGACGGACATCCTCGCCGTCATCGTCGTCACAGACATCGGCACCGCCATCGTCATCGTCGTCATCGCCACCACCATCGCTCGTATCATAACCGTTGCCGCCGACGTGGACGCCATCATGCGGGCTCTGTGACGCAGTAGGAAATCCCCATCGGTAAGCGCACCCGCGGCCGCATCAGTTGTACCATCCAGCTTGTCGCTGTGCGCGCTGGCGTGCGATCTGACGCGGCCGTAGAGATGCGCTCACAAGTGCAAAGCCATAACCGCGGTCATGACCGACTAGGTTTTATCAAACAGGTTGCGGGTGGGAGGGTGTGATGCTTGCGCGAGCAGTGGAGTTGACGTATTCAGGTTTCTGATTGATTGCACCAACAAATGCACCACATAAACTGCACCACATAGTGCGCAGCGAGGGTGCAACAATCCACTGCTCGGGGTCCACACTGGCAAACATGTTGTTCCTCTAGACAGAGGACGGAGCGCAAAAGAGACGGGGGAGCGAATGGGCGGTCCAGCTAGCACTGCCTTCGCGATGCCCGTCTGCAACAATTGCCTCTCAGCGTGCCGCGTCCCCTTCAGGGATCGACGCACAGCCTGAACACAGCCCAGCGCTCCTCTTCCCTCCTCCCTCCTCCCTCCTCCCTGCTCCCTCCCCCCTCCCCGTCCTCATATCTCCTGTTCCTTCCTGTCCCTCCACCCTCCCCGCTCCTGCACGTCGCCATCATCATCGCCCCAGTATTCCGCCTCCTCCTCATCATCATCATCAGCAGCATCATCATCAACATCAGCATCAGCACCAGCA